TGTGAATAAAAGCAGGGATCCGGACGGACTGAGGTCTTTCTATTATTTGGTGCAAGATTTGAAGTGCCTGGTTTTCTCGTTGATTGGTATGCACTTCAAGATCAAGCCTATCTGAATATTGGCTGCCACCCTCGAAGAAGCAATGATTGTTTATCAATGTTGACGTTGCTTTGCATTCCGTTGTACTATCTCGAGGAATACATGTGCTTGTTTTTTTCTCCCCTCATAAAAAACAAGCACATGTATTCCTTGAGACAGTTTAAGCCTTCGAGGAATCTTGGTTGGAGTTGAATTAGAAAGGTGCATAATTCACTCAGTAGCTTTACTGACACTTAAAAATTGCTTTCATGTTAAAAACTTCACTATTAGATCTAGGTAACTTAATATTAGCCGTGACTTATGTGCTTCTAGGATCTCTGTTACCCACTCTATACCGGTTTTTCCACTACTGCTCATCGAGACCAGTACAAATGTCTTTAAATTAATAATTATTACCACGTTAAGGCGCCTAAGTTATCAGAATTTGAGTTCATTTACCTCACTTTGTCATCATTTCTGCGAACCTTTCTGCATTCAGCAAGCATTTACAGCTTTATCATTATAAAAGTGAAACAGGGCTTATGTCTTACGCCCTTGAACTCGTCCGTCCCGATCTTAGTGGTGCGTTATACACTTTGAATTACAAATTTTTCTCCTCCACCTGCGATGCTTGCCTGTGCCTTGATCTGTTACTGCTGCATCTTGTACAGTTCTTCAAGTATTTCTCTAATTCGGGTAGTTTGTATTTGTGTTTGAATGACTACTGTCCATATTCTTTGTTGAATTTGTAGACGTACCTTTATGCAACTCTCGAAGCCATGCGGGGTCTAACTCCAACCTGTACGTTCATCCACAAGTCGATGGCATTTTCTGATTTCTAGTGTGGTGCTAATTTCCACATTTTAAGCAAAGGTATGTCTTCTTGGCGATGGCCTTTAAATACTAATCTAATAAATCTTTATCGGAAATTATACCCTATGTTTCAGAGATACCGAAGTGAGGTAAAACAAGCTGAATTGCACACAAATCATTGCTTACCGGCCGGAATTCTGTAATGTTGTGCAAATTTGACAGTTCTCTGAAGCCGCAAATGTTAATTCGACTAGGATCAGCCGTTCAGTGGCACAGTCTTTGCTGCTGTAATTTGTCCGGGTGCAGCTCAGTATGCGTAACGTAGGGAATACTAGTGGCGGCCTGTAAAAACTTTTGTAATACCCCGATTTCCCTAAACCTTCCACAGCTAGTCGAGATGACTCATTCTAATTTTCATGGTAATGCGGTCCAAATTCTGTTATTTAATCCAGCAGAAACAAACCTATCGTATCTCAGCAGGACAGCGACACAACCAATCCAAAAAAAATAGCATCAAAAGGCAAACACAACGCGTTATCAATCACAGATTAGTGAATATCACAGACAATATATAAGAAATATAAAAATACTTTCATTCTATGTACAAAAAAAGTACTTAGAATATGCAAGGAGAAACTGGGCGATGACACTGAGATTGCTACAAATCCAGGGAAAATCTAAATCGTTTCTAAGAGGAGAACGTTTACAGTTGAAAGAACAAGACGCAAGTTATTTATATTACAGCAGCAAAACAAAACTTATTTTGAGGCGCTCAGATATGTAAAGAAGAGCATTTTCGAAAGAGGTCAAGAATGACAGTATTTTTCGAGTGAGAAGGGTATTTTTGCAAAAAGGCCACTGAAATGCAATTTGAAATGGGTCTGTGCAGTAAATGAAAGTGCTAAAATATGAATTTAGGGTGCTGCTGTCAGAAAAATCCTGGAATGCAAACCGTCGTGCAGTACTTTGAACAGTACGTGCAAGTCAGAAGCAGGAAAACGCATGTTCAAACCACAGGGCACCTGGACAACTTCGAAATGGTCTGTGGGCTTGGAATTTTCAGCGCTACAGCACACGAAATTAAATTCACAAAGAAGATGTGAAGACTGCGAGCAACAGAAAGTGCCGCTTCAGAGAGCGGGTACTCCAGGCCTATCTAAAATTCACAAGTGTATAATAACAGAGTGCTGGGCGCCGATGGTGCACATGAATTTAAGTGAGACAAAAATACATAAACTTCTCACATCAAGAAACCACTTTTTCGAAGGGAAAAGATTTTTTGTCACATCTCACAAATTTTTTTAAGGCCAACTCCAGTTGCGCTGCACATACATCATAAGCATCAATGTATAGTACTGCAACGTTCTAATGTTACTTTACTTCCTCAGTAGCACTCCCTGCACCGCATTCGGCAAGAAAGAGCAGAGCCTGAGATGCAAGAAGAAATTTTTACAGAAACATTTTTGTCGTTTTGGGCAAGTCCTTTTGACCAGCATCCCCTTCACAGTGCACTGATCGCGGTCATCTGCTTCTTTCGTGGAAAATAAATAAATGGCAACAACTGGGCAACTGCAATCACTGTCGCAATCGCATTTGGTACCTGAAGCGAAGCGTCG